AGGACACACATGCTCTACAGAAGTGTCATATACCTGTCTTGGGGCTGGGCTTGGGCCAGCACTGCTTCTGGGCTCCACTGTGGGCTGAAATCCCACAGAAACTGATCTAAGGAGCCGGAGGGGTAAGAGTGGTGGGTGGTAGGTGGAGGGAGTCCTTCAAAAATACTCATGGATACTAATGAAACATCACTGGCACCCTCCTTGCCTTCATCCCCAGGTGGAGTGTCTTTGTCTAGGGATCAAATCTCATGTTTACTCAGCCTTGAGATTGCTTTTTTTTTAGCTCAACTACTGCTGCTACTTGTTCTTTGTTGGTTTGGGGTGGTTTTCCTTTTATTTTGGGGTTGATACCACCTTTATACACAGACATTCATTTTATTGGGGACCTTAGGTATGTTAGTGTATTCTGGAAATACTTTGCAGGGTGTATATAATAGAGGAATAGATCAAATCCTCCGTGATCCTGGTTAACATCTAATCTTGAATGGGATGTTTTTAATACTCACTGTCACTGAGCACTGCCAGGCTGAGGTCTTAGTCCTTTATCAAATGATACTGTCATCAGAATCAATGCCAGATGAAAATAAAAACAAGCAGTCTAGTCTGTTGCAATTATATTTATTTCTTTATTTTTATAAGGCATTTTCCATCCTTCAAGTCACTCTGGTTTTGTTCAAAAAAGGAGAAGGTGTTACACTATTGAATGTTTGTCAGTACAATACAGTGAACTCAATGGTGTGTCACGGGAGAGAGGTAAACACAGCAGGTCTTTGACAACATGGGAGACAATCTGGTGCAAGAAAAGTTTTATTGATTATTGAAAACCTTCTCATTGCACAAACAATGACCTTCTCAGTATGACCTTCTTAGTTTACCCTTTGCAATCCATGGAACATCAGATAAAACAGGAATTCTAACAGATGTATATTTGTAGTGGAATACTTAAACCTTGCAGCTGTGGGCACAAAATTGCCTTTCAAGCAAGTACCTTCAGAGCACTCACATTTGCCCTAATCTAAGAAATGGAAGTTAGGAAAAGTGCAAGTTTACTGTCCATTAACACAAATAGGAAAAGTGTATTGCAAAAATCTCTCTCAATACAAGTACCAGTAACTCAATTTGGAATAACTTGTGGTTAGTGGGATTTGCTTTTAAGCAACTGAGTTCAAATATGTAATACAGCAATAGCGGGAAATGGGTTAGATTAAGCAAATCATGTAAAAATCATTTCTGGATATATTTTTATTAAATTTTCTCATTGTCTCAAGCCCGGAGCCTGATGCTGTAAATGACTGAGAAGCTCCTGGGAATTGAGAAATACTTTGCAGACCTACCATGTATAGGAGGAGACAGAGAAGATTTTAAAGTGCTTTGGAGGAAAGAGGTTTAGATCTGAGATGCAGATGAAAAAAATTACAGGACAAATTTGGTCAGAATTACCATGCTGGGCAGTGGAAACTTTTTTAAGAAGAGCATAAATGTGAGTATAGTGCCTTAGACACAGGGGCCATTTGGCCCAGTGCTCTGCTTCACTTTTCCAGTTGCCAACTGTTTTCAGTACAGGGGGTGACTGAACCCAATGTGGTCTTAATGTTCGTTACTCTAAACATCTCTCCATCATCTTCTTTAAGGCACATGAACCCAGCATCCTTTGGCAAGGAATTTTCCTGTTACATGAGTAACCATCCTGTTTTATTTGTTTTGAACCTGATTTCTACTTGTTTCACTTGATGTTTCCCAGTTCTAGTCCCTAAAGAGGTTTTGAAGAGTTGACCCCTGACTTGTGCTCTCCAGACCACCCATGAGTTTGAAGATTGCTGTTACATACTCCCTCAGTTACTGTTTTTTATTTCCTGGCCAAGAACACTACTTGATCATTCTTCATGTGAAAGGTGTCCATGCGTTCAGTCATCCTCTTTGCTGTTTGAAATTTTCCTGGTTTTAATATGTGTTGTCTGAGGCCAGAGCATGGGAATTGCATTGGCTACTCCAGGTATGGGCAAAACATGCATTTGTACAGCAGCATTTAGCTGCCCAGTGTTTTAGTGTCTATTTTTAACTTATAATTCCCAATATATGCTTTGCCTTTTCAGCATGATCAGTTGTTGGGCTGATGTGTTTGTGGTACTGATACATTTTACTCCCAGACCTTGCTGCTGAGTGATAGTCACCCCAGAGCCCATCATTTTCTATGTGAAGTTAGGATTGCTTATTCCACTTTGGTACTCCCAGACCTTGCTGCTGAGTGGTGATGGTCACCCCAGAGCCCATCACTTTGTATGTGAAGTTAGGATTGCTTATTCCACTTTGTGTGTGTCTACATTGCTTTTATCTGCCATTTGATTGCTCGGCATCTTTAGGTCCTTCTACAGTTCCAACCTGCCCTCAGCCTTACAGCTCTTAAACCTTTCATGCCATCAGCAAACACTGCCACCTCCCAGTTTATCCTCTTTCCCAGTAATTTACAAACATGTAGAACAGCAGAGCTCCAGCACAGAACCACACAAAGCTCCACCTTCAATCTCCCTCTGCCTTTTCCTCTTGCCCTCTGTTCATCTCTGTTAATAATTTATTTCTTCCTGTGAAGACTTCCCCTGTCATGTCACGGCTATTTAATTCCCTTAAAAACATTTAGAGAGGGACTTTGTCACAACTTCTTTAGAAATCCAAATAAACTGTCAATTGATATATTACTGGTACCCACGCTCTACAAAACTCTCCAAGAGAAGCAGCATTGTTCTTCCAACAGCCACGTTGCTATCCCAGCTGTACCTCTGGCTTCTCTCTGTCTCTTGCTTCTCTGGTAAGGACACCAAATCTAAGAATATTATCTCTAAGTACAACCTCTCAGGAAGTTCTGTTGCTTTTCTTTAGTCATGACCATTAGCAGTTTCCAACCCTGTGATTCAGGTCAATGGGGAAAAAAAAAAAAAAAGATTGACTGCAATAAGAGGATTTATAAATCTATTGTCAAAAAGCAAGACTTAGTCAATGAGGCAGACAACCAGAAAAGTATCAAGCAAGCAGGCTGATTTTTGTCTTAACCCTGAAAGCCTCTTTTCTGCAGTGCAGGCTTCCATATTGATGAGCATGTGATATCTTGTGATCCAATTCACTGAGAGTTTGACCCAGAAGAAATCACTGTAACCATGTAGGATTTCTTTGCAGTATGGACATGTCACTTGTATACAGCTCAGAAGGTCATGGCCACACAAGGCTGTTTCAATTATTAATGAAAGACTCCTAGAGATGAAATATTTAACACTTCTTTCTGTAAGGTCCAACTCCCCTTACTACCATGGTAAAGGGCAGCAATACTGCTCATTGCTCTGATGCTGTAGATTAATGGTTGAAATGAAAGGTTTTCTTTTTAAAGTTGGGTATAGTTTGCAAAGATCCCTAACCTTGAACTGGATCCTGTAGTTCTTGTTTACTAAGGTGAGTGGGAGTTCTAATTAATAGCAAGGTTTCAATTGGCTGAAAACTGGACAAACATTCTTGACTGTTGTTTTCTTTGAAAAATCCTTTAAAATTCAAAAGAATCCCCTACAAAGATTACATGGTTCATACAGAGTGATTTTTCAAGCCATCTGAAGGAGAAATTAATTGTTGTACATCCTGCCCAGAGGTGAAAACAACTAGTGCCAAACCCTTCTTTTGATTAAGTTCAAATTTCCCTGTTAATTTCTGAGAGAACTCTTTAAAGAAACCCATCCCTTTCAGCGTGCACTTTCCCTCCTGGGAGCTCCAAATGTTTCTACTGTATCAATGGGAAACTGTAGTTCAAAGCAAGAAATTTTCAACATCTTCATTTTCAACCCTGATCATCTGTGTGCATTACAGCACTGGCTGATCAATAGTAATTCAGGGATAGGGTGGCGTATCATCCACTGAGAAATATTTCAAGCCTTGATTAGTTGTGCTCCTTTTCCATTGGGACTGTAGTGTTTTCACTTATAAAGACATGTGATCTGGAAGCCTGAGGCAGAACAATCCTAATTTTCACAGAAGAAGCTTTTCTAGGATGCAAAAGCTTTTATGTCCTCATCTGTGTTTCTGAAAGCTGTGTCTTCTCCACAACATTAAAAAAGAAAACAAACAAAGCAACCTTAGGATGGCATCAACATCACAGCCTCTGCGAGGTAAAAGGGCATGTAAAAAAATATTTTGGGCAGTATTTCCTCATGCCTGCTTCATTCTGTCTCTTGTGATCTATGCTTTTCTTGGGGCTCTCATGTTTTCCCACATTGAAGGTAACCGGAAGGTCAATTTAAGTGAATACAGAACGTTTCTGCAGAGTCTGTGGCACATCTCCAGAAATTTATCAGGTATGTACTGGAATTTCACAATTACTTAACTGTACTGGGGATTACTAATTCTCTTGCTTTCTGAATGAGATTTTTTGCTTTTGGAGCCATCCTTCAAAATACTAACAGCTGAACCTGCAAATGGGATTTTCCCTCTGCCTGATTATTGACTGCTGTTGTTTACTGGTCTTCCTCAGATGTGCTTTTTGATTGCAAGCTTCCCTGGTCCCTCTCTTCCTGCCTGAAAAGAGGAAACCTCTTGCAGCCCCCTTTTCCCAGCTCTGAGCCTCCCTACCTGCCTTCTGGTGATGGGATGTGTGGATTGAGGCAGGTGTTGTGCCCCAGACCCGGTGGTGCTGATGGAGGGGAGAGATGGGAGCAGAAGGGGTAGAAATTATTCTAGATTTTTGTTGGGGATCATACATGGGCTTGGACATTTTTCAGAAGCTCTGCTGACACAATGATGTGCTTGGCACAAGCATCCCTGTAGATAATATCCTTTCAGGCAGAGCTCATGCATGGGGGATGAGGAACAAGGGATGTGGGGATTCACTTCAGGGCAGTGGGCAGTGACACCTCTGTAGTTTGCATCAGTCACCTACTGATGATCCCACATGTCTAAGTACCTGTGGGTCAGAGGAAGATAAAACTCCAGGGGAATTGAAATGAAACAGAATATTTAGGCTGGAAGCTGAACCTTCTATCTTTACTACTCCTTTATGCCTATTTTTTGTAATATTTTGACTTTGTTGGAGCAGAGAGCATTTATTTCTTGTTTCTTTATTCATCAAAACCACTGGACCCACCTGATTTTTTTTGCGGGGGGAGGGAGGGGGCAAGGGGAAGGGGACAGTGAGGTGAATGCTTTTTTCTTCCAAAAGAATATGTGCAAATCCTCAGCTGGAGTAAACTTCACTGGAATAATAGGCTGGCTGCTCCCTGAGTCATGGTCTGCAGACACTCAGTGTACCTCTTGTTGTTGCTGTTGCAGATAACATGACAGAAAACGAGGAGGTATTTAAGGAAAAAATCCATGGACTGCTCAACACAACTGACAGAAACTGGTTTGTCAATCCAAAAGATACATGGACTTTCTTTGGGTCTCTCTTTTTCTGCTGCACAGTATTCACAACTGTGGGTAAGTTCAGAGGCAAAGTAACTCTCTGCAGAATCAACTGCTATTGCTGCTTTCTCAAATGTATATCTTACAGGGAATTAAAAAAGCAAGCAACCAACCCCCCCCCACACACCTTCTTCCCCCACCCCCACAATTCTTCTTCCGAGTATTGACTTTGAGTTTGAGGGGGGGAGTCTACAAACACTGATTGCAGAGATGTGGCTGAATCCCAGTGACCAGTCAGAATTTAGTTACTAGTGATGGTACGTGCTCATTATTTGCATCATTACATATATACTATTACACATACTCACACATGACATGCACACAGAAGTATTATATCAAAATAAAAAGAAAGCTCCATTTTCCAATCAGACTTTACTCTTCCCACTATCGTGTATTATACTGAGTAATGTTTTCTTCACTGGAAGAGGTCATTTGTTATGCATATATTGCTTTTTAATTGCTTCCCTGTTATTTATGTTGAACACAGCTTTGTCAGGCTCTGGGTCTATACTCAGCCATACTGTTGCTGTTCACACTTCTCTGGCTTAACAGCACATGGAGATGTTTAAGTGACACCTCTGAAATTTTTCATTCTGACTTCAGATTTCAAAGGAGGACCTAGATCAAATAGAAACATCTGCTCTGGTTTTGGCTCCCTCTGCATTGCTAAATACAACTCCTCAAGCTTGTTCCCAAAGTTACTTCCATCCCTTTGCTACTGTCTCTCAAATGCTGGTGGTACAGACACTGCTATGGGATTATTTCCCACCCAGCTTTGATTCTGACAGCATTGTATCAGATTGCAAAGGCATTTTCTCCATGGCAGTAGGATATACTCAAGATCCCAGCCAGGGTGTGGATCTTAATGCCAAAGGAAAAATGAACCTTGACAAAGAATTTAGCTTATACAAGGGGGAATTTGAGAGTTAATATGTTCACTTGCAGCACGTCGGAGACTCTTGCAGGTGTGTAAGTCACAGCAGGGACTTGAACCTCGGCTCTGATGTCTCAGGTGACTGTTTAAACTCAGCTCCTTGCAGCTCTTGAGTTTGAAGACTGTCATGTAGGTCATCAGAGACTCATCCTGGAGATGCAGACTGGAATCCTCAACCCAGCAAATATTTCTTATTACAAACACAACAGCTAGGAAGGTTTAAAAGTGGTAACTTCAACAGAAAGCTGTGACTTCAGCAAACTGATGGAAAACTATCTTGTTGAAACCTTCTTGCCTGGGTATACTTACCCAAGTTCATTGATATGGGAATTTGCAAATGTCCCCCCACACACTGACCCAGCAGTTATTTCTAAACTACCTTTATTTTTAGCCTTCATGGCACTGAACATTAACACAGCATCCTCAGGCTTTGAGCTGAGGTTTGGGATCAGTAGGAAGCCTGGAATATTTGTTGCCAATAGGTGGCTACTCCCATTGTGGTGGATTTATTATTTGAAGTATCAGGGACTGATAAATCACTTCAGGTGAGAGTCAACTCAGCTACCTGTGATTACCTGGGAGAAGCAAGACATCTAGTCTGAAGACTGGTGGTCTGAACTGCCACCTCTGCACTGCCCAGGGAAGTTGTCTAATGGCTCTCAGCTAGGCTGGATTTCTGGAGAGCTAGATTTAAGCTCAAGATAAGTTTTAACTCTTGAAATCACACAAGGTATTTTTAATGCTCGGAAACTGAGGGGGGAACAAAAGAAAATTACTTTGTGCAATAACTACAATAAATAGTTAATCTTCCTCAAGTCCTTCAGCAGTAAGGATGAGCATTCCCAGTTAGCCAGTGGGAATAAACTGCTTTTCATTGTCTCACAGCGAAGGAGGAACCATGGCTGGAATCAGACCAAAGGCTATGGCAGCCATTAGTGAAAGCAAACATGAATGGCTGAAGAATATGAAGGAAATCTCAGCAAATGAGCCAATATTTCTACAGGCTTAATACCTGCCTTGGAAGGTCATCTAGAAGAGAATAATGTTTTTGAAGGCAGAGAATAGATGCTTTATGTCTTCTAGAAGAATGAGAAGGAAAATTGCAGTTAAAATGTAATACGATTAATATAATGCTGATGTTTTCTCCCCCTGTAATGGAAAAGCACTAGTCTTCTAGTCTATTAGTTTCACATCCAGTATTTTAGAGGAAGGATATATAAGCATGCAAATTGAATTTAGGGGAAGGACACATCTTCTGCTACCATTTAATGTATCATAAAGGCCATGTGTCTGGTAGTTCTTCCCTATTTGCTGTAATTGATATTTGTCAGCTTTAGTACTCTAGATAAACATGCATTTCCTCATGTGATGAATATAGGCTTCCTCACCTGATCCTTTGTTTTTCTGAGTACATTGAAGAGACTGTGACAACTATGAAGCCAGTACCAAGACAATGTCACTACAACACATACCATTAGAGATAGAGCTGATGGACTAGGGACAATTTCAAAGGCTGCTATTAACTTACCATTTGTCACAAGTAGTTTTGGCCAAGAAACAAAGTTTGAGGTAAGGGTCTCGTTGTTTCAATCTGATCCATAATGCTGTCCCAGTTCCAACATTCAGACCATTATCCAGATTTGAATCTTCTCAGTGCTGAGGAATTTTCATCCCCAGATGTTATTCAGTCGTTCTGTGAGACCCTGGAAGCCAGTGAGAAATCCCCCAGCATCTCCAAAGTCAGCTGTTGTCTCTCTGAGCTCAGCCCTCGGCTCAGCTTCCCTGTAAGGGGACCCATGAGACCGAGACCTCTCTTACTGTCTTGTCTTCTGGATCCTTCTTAACCCAGATGCCCAGGTCAGGAAATCTTCCTGGTAATGGTCTCCAGCAGGACAGAGGCTGCACACAGGTCTTGGACTGACCCAAACCTTTTGCTTCTCCTCCCTAAATGGCCTCCTGTTGTCAGGCAGTCAAGTTAAAGAGCCACTAAAGTGTGGGTAAGGTAGGCAGAGTTAATTCAACAGAACTGGTAAACTTCAAATCTCCAAGTGCTTGAAGAAGCAGAATGTCTGCATTAGTAACCAGGGTCAGAAATATGAACAGCTTCAAAGTAGATCCAAAAAGAATGGTATGCTGTGAACTAAAAATGGACTTTTAAAATTGACAACAAGGAAAAGCTCAGAGGATATGAATACCTAATCAATCACAATTCTCTCTCTCTCTCCCTTTCCCTTCTCCTTTTTTTTTTTTTTTTTGTTCAAGGTTATGGTAATACCTATCCCGTGACACGGATTGGAAAATACCTCTGTATGCTGTATGCTTTATTTGGCATCCCTCTGATGTTCTTGGTCCTGACAGACATGGGAGACATCCTGGCAACTGTCTTATCCAAGTCTTACAATGAATTCAGAAAACTACAGTCTAAAATTCTAGACTCTAAACTCTGCTCTGGATTCACATGTAAAAAAGGGGATGAACTGAAATCCAGAGCACAGTCTAAAGAAGTCATCAATGAGCCCTTGACTATTATGGAGGTGCTGAAAAGTCAGACAAGTGTTAAAGGGAAACCAATCAAATACCGCAATGCTGAAATTTTTGAAATGTTAATTGCCAGAGAAAATGAACACACAAGACTAGCAAGAAATAAAAGCATTGAGAGATGGAGCTCGTGTCCTGAGCTAACCAGGGGAAAGACAATGTCCAGGGTCATTGAGAATTTT